AACTCTTATCCGTTACCACAATTTTTTGTATTAGTATAAACGTTAATTCACAAATCACTTGTTTATTGCATCAGCAGTAAATCCGGCACCTCAACTCAACGGTGGTTATTTGAATCAATAAATTATCACGATCTCAAGTTCGCTTCGTCGGAGTATTGGCAACAATAGCCGAAGCAACAATGCACTGCTTCAGATAAAACTTGTCATCCATAATCAGCATTTTTTAAAGATATTCCCTAAATTCGTACTAAGTGTTCTCGATTCTAGAAATTTGATCGTATTCATTTATCGAATTTGTTTTCGCATGTCTATGCTTGCAGCAGCAGGAGGATCCTTGACTCGATAATTCGTTTCGGTCGTTGCAAATCTCTTGATATTCTTGGAACCACCAGTGGTTCAATTTGATAGTTTCTGGAATCCGCATGGAGTTGCACCGCCACTTTTTCCACCGTTCGAGATGACAAGCCGCGAGCCAGAAGTCACACTTTGGCGAAATGTGTGGTAAAGAAATTATTGAAGAGCACGTTAGACATCCGCGAACTTTTTAACCATGTGAAATACTCTCATCTGTTGCGTCATCTCAAATGTGTGTACCTAAAATCTTGTATTTCAGATATAATTACCATCGCTCTTCACTTAGAGTGTGTGTGTTCTTATTTGTAAACCAGAAATATTCTAGCAGCTTCCGGCACTTCCCGAATTTGTCTGGACGAAAATGTAGAGTTCTTTTTTGTCGGTTGACGTCGGTAAAAGTTTTTCGTGAGTTGTTTCACGACCAACGTTTAAGAAGGAAATATGAAAGGAATTTCGCTTCCTTGTACTTCCCTTGTTTTCGCTTCCTTTCGCTTCCCTTTTTCGCTTCCTTGTTGTAACTCGCCAACTTTTCAGCCTTATTTTTTATCTAGATTGACTTTTTTTCTTTTGAAGCTCATTCTATATTGTCTTTGCACTGAAGCGAATGTGCAAATGCATGGATTTCATAGTAAGATTATCATTAGGTAATGTTGTTCTAGTCACCGGTTTACTGATGATCTTCAGTGGCTTTCAAAATTTTTTTGTTTGTATCCGATAGCGGAGCCAGTTAACTGGACTAAGTCGTGAAGGCTTTTTTCAATTTTTTTTAATGTTTGGATGATCCTTGGAAAAATTCGCTAGAAGTTACCGTCAATTATGACAAATGTTCCACAAAACTCTTCATCAGCATTGTCATGACCCAATTTTCAGGTGTATGCTGTCGATTGCTCCCGTGCTATGGAAATTTTTCCCTTTTCCTTACCTCGTGAGTTAGTTTTCCTCATCGGCGATGATGCGTTTCCTGTGCTCTTTAACCGTATTTTCTTCTTGTCTTTCTAATTGCCAATCTACTGTGGTTTTTATACTATTGTGAAAGATTACTTGATTTGCCCTCATCTTACCGTCACATGATATTTCAGTTTGATGGCAAGTTTGACATAATGCTACATTCTTTTGGAACGCACCATTTTTCTGATGGTCTAGACTCTAGATTATCAAAATTTTGGGGAATTTATCTGACTCGGAAAGATGTTTAATCATTTTCGTTCCGAGGATTATTTCGTTCAATCCTTTTTTTTCTTTTTTTGCTAGCATTCTCCTCTTATGTTTGTGTGTGCTGCTGCAATTCTGTCTCAATGCTTTGTGTTCCTCTCGCGCCACACGGTGACATGCCCTTCATAACGAGGTTTGTGCACCTCCCAGCATAAATAGGAAGAAAGGTGCAAGGTTTGCACTTCGAGTTCACCTCAATTGAGCGTCAAGGCTGGTATGTATTGAAGACGACACTTTAAAGTCGCTTATTTGGTCCTTCAGTACCAGTCTAGAGTTCGTGCGAGTTGCGTTGTGTTGCTCAGCTGAAAACGTTGACAATAGAATGAAAATATTCTGATCTTCATAACATCATTTCTACGCATATTTTGCTGTTGGAAGCTCGTACATTAGTCGATCTCACAGGTTTCATTATAGTCTTGTTTCTCGTTCTGTTACCATGAGACTCATCAGCAACGGGAACCACTTGACCAACAGAGCCATGTTTACGTGTTTGCTCTGTTTGTTATGCGAGTGTGAAGCAGTGTTTGCCTTACTCTGTGTCCGCTGTTTCAAGCCTCGGTATCTCAAACCACTAACATCTTTTCCATCACCTATAACCGCGATATTATAGTCTTTATTCCTTTAAGATGCTAAGTATTCCTGCTATCATGATTGCAGTTTACTCACTCACTATCATGCTAAGCATCAACGTGAACTGTATTTCATTATCGATTGGTGCTTATTTCCCAATCTTGGATTAATATGAAATATTGGTTCTTGAATTTAAATACCCCTCAGGGGGGGACTTCTGACGCGTATCTGTGTTGTCAGAAGTCCTATAAGATTTCGCGTTCCTTATAGGAACATTGTTCATGATTACCCCACCCCAGAGCTCGCGGTGTCTGACTGCGGGTCTGAGTTGCGGGGTTAAGTTATCATGCAGGTAGGATTACTTACACTTCCTTTCTTTGTCTCTCTCGAGCGGGCAGCCAACGTACCGTATAAGCGACCTCTTGTTTGAGTGTCTTCGTTTCTGTTGCTTTTCACCTGTCTATCTTTGTCACTTCGTCTCTCTGTGATGATAACGCTGCTTATTTCGCGCCAGCTTCAGCGGGCTGGACAATTTAGACCTTCCGCCCCCTTGTGGGTGCTGAACGATTTTTTGAATTGAGAATATTCCGATAACCGAAACCTTCCACCTCATTGGTGATATTCATCTTGACTTTCGGTATGATATAGCTATTTAGCTGAAGCGCTAGTAATCATGTAGCCATGCACTAAACTATACTAAACTTGAATTCATATTTTCTAATATTTACATCTTTCGGCCGCAATTCGTCTCGCTTATTTCTTGTGGCTCGTGATCTTGGAACTCGTGATTTACGGGGTAATTCTAAATAATTGGCCTAATTTATTAAATTCGTATTTATGTAAGTATATATTCAAAATGAATAATTTATACGCCAATGGAAAGGGAAAGATTTAAATTTTTTAACCTATTCAAACGCGGGATTGGGTAGCGGCGGGAAGGCCTCTCAAGTTTTCGTACACAAACGGCCGCTAGAGTTCTCGTGTCAGCAGCCGCCATTGTGTTGCACTGTCACTTGCGATTGAGATGGCTACTGTGCCGCACAAGATTTTCTGCGTTCTTGAGTTTGCTCAAATTGAGTCGAAAGTTACAGTGCAGCGGGCATTTCGTCTCAAGTTCTTTATTGAACCACCTGGCTGGCTAACTCGAAAACTCTAGCGGCCGTTTCCGCCGCTGTCGCCGGCTCCCCATTCGGCGTGTGAATAGGTTGAAAAAATTGAATCTTCTCTCTTCATTGGTGTATTAATTATACATTTCAAATTTAGACTTGAATAAATACGAATTAATTAAATTGGGCCCATCATTTAGAATAACGCTGTACTTCTCCCAGATCACTGATAAGTAATGAATGCATCGATGCTCTTTGTTTGAGATATGCTACAAATAATCACAAGCACACTTGCAGGCATGTAACTTCAATATTAGGATGTTGAATTTTTTATTCTAGCTTGCAAAATGTATCGTATTTTAAGGTAATACCGACGTAAATTGTAAGCTCCGACTTCGATAATTGTGCCCGAAGATACTTCTTAGAAAGAAAATGTCCACCAATTTGCTTCTTATGGAGAATAAAGGCAGTTTGATCACGAACGTTTCATGCGTTGTTTATGATGCTGTCGTGCTCCTGTTATGCGCGCTGAGCTTCTCGGCTTGGTGTATAATTCAGTGGCGCTGCCCAGCATGTGAGCTCTGCCTTTGGCTTCACAACAAGAACCGCGACAACGACATAGATTCTTCGTCTCCATACGCTGAACAAGTATAATCTCTTCGTTCACCGGGCGATTATTATTAAGAGCAAAAGCGTTTTAATGTTGTAATTGTATTTGAATGCTAAATCATCTTTCAGTCATTGTTGAAGTTGGTTTTCGTTGTATTCGTGAATGTTTGCATTCATGAAGTTTCGCATGTTGCAATTGTTGTCAATCTATTATAATCTCAAAATTAAACAATTTAATTCTCGGTTCACCCACCAATTTCCATCATTTTATTTCAAATAAAATATTTTCCTGCTATAGCGGCATTATTTTATTTCGATGTCATGAAAAAAATGGATGTCCATGATTTTTGTCCATGATGATTTATGCAACCGCGGCTGAAAACCCCCAATTTCAAATATAATTGAGTGCACCCTAAAGTTGAAATAAGTTGCCGTACAAGTAGTATAGGTGTACTGTGCAGCATTTGTAGCTACCGTAATGACCAGCCGCTAGGCCTAGGCGCAAGCGAGCACTGAGCACGAGCAGCTATATAATTTCGTTGGCTGGATGAAAATAGAAATTTGAAGCAGTATCCACTGAAAATCGTTTTCTCTTTCATCCTTCTCGATCAAAGAAAACTTTTTTATCTTAGTGTGACTAGTGTAAACTAAAACCTTTTTTGATTGTCTCTGAATTATTTTCCTATACATTTGTCCAAGTCCACCTGAATGACAAAAACGTATATGAAACCTGCAATGAGAGATGCACCGTTTAAAATTAGTGCATTTTATTCATTTTAGAAATAAATAATTAATTCAGTGAAATTTTTATTATAAAGTAGTCTTGTGTTGATCGTGTAATTGCATATTACTAGTAATTAACCTTCACTTGGTTCTATTCTAATTAAATCCATTCGTACATAAGAACCACTTATATTTACGAAGCTCATTAGTTGCTAACACGTAACCGCTGACAATTGAATTTCGAGTTATGTTGTCACAATTTGCATTCTGCGCTTATATTTTCCCTTGAATTTCACATTGATTTGACTTCTACAAGCTTTAATTGAAGTTTTGTTTTCAATGACAACTGTTGTCACTAGCTTTGACCTCAACGTTCATTGTATTTTGTTTCCCTCCATTTAACTAATGCTTGTGTATTCTCCTCAGGACCTACAGAGCGAGATCGAGTCGCACAAAGATGTGGTGGCGAGCCTCAACGCGACGGGACAGAAGCTCCTGGGCACGCTCGAGAACCAAGACGAGGCGCTCATGCTACACCGCCGCCTCGAGGAGATGAACACTCGCTGGAACACTCTAAAGCCTCGCAGTATTGCCATCAGGTGAGCTGCAGTTATGATGCTGGAACATTCTAAAGCACCGCAGTATTGCCATCAGGTGAGCTGCAGTTATGATACTAGCACTCTATATAGACAAGCATTCGTGTACCCACCTCCATAAGAAACGCAGTCGCGAACTCACTTCGGCCGTTTGGATATTAATCACATTTTTTACGCAGTTTTGATATTCGCGATTGCTTTACTATGTAAGATGGAGGTAATTAAATGCAGTGTTTTTCAAATAATTGCTTGGAGCATTCAGAGTCGTTTTCCATGCGATGAATCACGTCTTACTACCTCCTGTTTGGTAGTGATATCAGTTTTATTTCCAATTTTTGCTTCTGTTCTCTGCCTGGAATTGGATTTGCTTTGATCAAGATTATGCCCTGAGTCCGTGATTTTATGACGTCAAAGCTTCTCGTTTCCTTGATTCTATTGCTGCTGCAGTTGCCGTCGCTGCTGTTTCCGTCCCTCTCTCGTTTGTACGCTTCGTCAAGTTTCTCATTAGAGGAATATTTCGCTTCCATGCCTCAATTACGTTGCACTCAACAATCTCTACGACGCAATCAGGATTTTTGCTCCCATTGCATGCTGATTGTCGTTTGCCACGGCGAACTCCGGCGCTTCTCTAATTCTACAAAATTCTTTATAATTTCTGGCGCTTCTAATATCTTGAATTCTCCCCTAAATTTTGCTGTTCTGTAAACGCAATTCACCGGAATCTTTTTCTGTCATAGAATTTTTTACATATTTCAATTAACTTTAAATAACAATAATTAATTCATGAATAAACGGTATTAAAAGCAATCAAAGCCATTAACTAATTCCTGCATCATCGTTAATCATATTAGAATTTTATGTCTCCATGCTCGGAATCCTATTACTTAAGAATTTTGTGTGTGTATGCAAACCACTCGTAAATCTTGGCGACGTGGACGACCAATAAATAATATCTTAGCCATAAGCCTGACAGAAGGCTCTCTGCACCTGATCTGATATGCTTCTCCATTTTCCAAATTGAGCCTGAGGCCCTGGCGCCCGTTCCATATTATTATCCGTCACTTATCGTATTATTTATCGTATTTCTTCTGAAAGCTTCATTTCTGCATCTTTACTAGAGTTTCCATGTAATTCATTTTTACAACACTTCTCTTTAACTTCACTTCTTGTTGTTTGTTTGTCTGTCTGTCTGTCTGTCAGTCTGTCTGTCTGCTACAAATCTTATAATCGATTTTTAAAACACTTCTACCTCTTCCATCGATCTGAAATTTTGCACACTTGCGTAAAGTTGGAGACAATGCATGAATCAATTGACACAATAAATAATTTTAGAAATTGAAAATTTTTTTTAATATTAAAAAAATTGAAAAAATGATTTTGTCTGCTACAAATCTTATATTGTAATCGCTATTTCACACACTTCTAACTGTCCAATCTATCTGAAATTTTGAAGACTTGCGTAAAGTAGGAGGCAATGCGTGAATCAATTGACAGAATAAATAATTTTGACAATTTAATTTCTTTTATGTATTAAAATAATTAAAAAATTAATTTTTTTAATATTCGAAATTAAAATTAGAAATTCATTGTACATGCTTTACATTGGAGACACTGGATTTTTTTAGAAGTGTTGTCTCTAAAAAGTAATTTTTAAACGTATATTTTTTATTCATTATGACTATTTCTGCAACTTTCTCTATACTTGTCATTGGATGAACTAACCCTTTAACGCTATCGGAATATTGCCAGAAATGCCATCTGAATTTATTTAATTTGATATGTGACTCTCCTTATGGCGATTTATGGGCTTCTCGACGTTCCGAAATTGTAAATCACCTGCGGATGCATGCTGCATGGAGGTGATAACGCACCGTATTATCTAGCTCATCAGTTTTTTTTTTCTTTGAGTCTGAGGAATATCAATTTTTTACATTGATAAATATATTAAATTCATCCGTCAACACACAATTGTTGTCACATCACTACAATTCCCTTTATGGGCCATTTCTTTCAAATCGCGTTCTTACTCTAATGCAGGTTCGTGTGTACTTTTTATCCAGTATGTATAGTGAAAATTGAATCATTCACTACAAAGTTAATTTTTGGTTGTATTCATACCTGATTGGGTGGGATTATTTTCGTGCGCCGTTTTGTAAATTTTTGTGTTTATTTGAAGTCGGTATAAAATTCTCATAATATGTGGCAATACAAAGATCAAGCAGTGGATACGTGACTCGAATAGATTATGTGAATAAGGTTTATACTGAATGCTATGAATTTCAGAATACGCCTGTACACAGAAGATTGACTTACTTTCATAACTCGTTTTATCTTTCAGAGTTGTTTGCTAATTAGGATAAGCTGCTATTGCTAGCGCTAGTTTATTTCTAATACTGAGAGAAGGGCGTATAAGGTCATCACCGCGTCCTTTTATTTATTCGCTCATTTTGTATTTCCATGTTTTGGTTTCCTGTGGAGCCAGCAACTCTCTTCCCCACTTCAATACTACAAATCATTCTACACATTTATCGTAAATCTTACAAATAAGCTTTCTCTGTTTTTATTTTGTTGTGCTTGGATGTACTGATGAGGTACCTGAATATTTCGGCCATATTTTCCTATTTTATTGTTTCATTCATTTTTTAATATTTATTTTCCACATTTTCTTCAGGCTAACCAATAACCTACAGTTATTTAGCACTCAACACTCAACAGCCATTGGTTTCATATGTAGATATGTTTTTTTGGGGCTCAAATGGCTTTTCTTATTTACTTCAGGTAATTTGGTGCCGTATTTAGCTCACTCTGATTTCGGCTTACTTGGGAATGCACGATAACATCGCATTTGACGTTGAATGTTTACAATGACGGATAATCAGTATCTACTACAATGCTCTATGATTTCTGCATTTGATAGATGATCAATAGAGCAGTGGACGGCAATCTATAGGATTTTTAAAAAATCAAACTTACAATTGTGCACCTACATTTGGATGCCAATTTACAGTCAAGGTGGCTTAAAAACACTGATAACTCAACCTCATAGGTATTGAATTTTTTAGGTAAAATTACAGAATTAGCAAGACACCCACAGATGGTCAAATGAGCTCTTTGCTCCAAAAATTTATGGCTTGAAATAGAAAATTTACTGCCCAGACGTTTTGTCAAAGCGGCAAAATTGTTAAAATCAACAAATTTGTTACTGTCAGGCAGGTGATTGCTTTTCCATGCGTGTATGTACAAGTTTTCCCTTTATCCGCAGTTACATAAGCCGCAATAAACCTGATGGCCAAAGTTCACTCTATATTGTCTTATTCTATGATCTGTATGTGGTCTTAGCAACTCAAGAAAGAACGTGTATGCAAAAATAGTGAATATTGAATTTAATTTTTAATAGAAGATGACTTTTAATAGAAGATGATGATTCTTCTTTGGGTTCGGCTTGACACCGGCCAGAAAAGCGGATTATTTATGACCTACAAATTTAAAATGAGTTCCACCAGATTTTTGTACAACGTGGAGCTGTTGTATGAATTTGTATTTTTTATTTTTATATTGTCTTTTTCAGCTTTGCAGTAAATTTCTTTTTAATTTAATCTTTTTCAAATTTGCTCTGGGTCATTTTTCCCAGCATCTCCTAAGGTTTGGCCGTACTGAAGAGAATTATTTCGCGTGCAGGTCACGTCTCGAAGGCAACTCGGAGAGTTGGAACAGCTTGTTACTGTCACTGCGGGAACTCATCGAATGGGTCATCCGGAAAGACACCGAACTTACAGCCATAGGTCCTCTTTCCGGAGACCTACCCACGCTCGCCAAACTTGAAAGCGACCTCGTCTCCTTCAGAAGAGTTCTGGACGAGAAACAGCCCGTGGTCGAGTCTAACCTCAAGAGCGGTCGGCAGCTGATCGCGTCCGAACCTCCTCTCAGCGATACCAGCGACAGTGAAGGTCAGTATTTCACAATTTCCTTAGTTGCTGTTGCTCTTTGAATTTTATTCAATATTGCTTGTTTTGTGAATTTTAGTCATAAAGCTTCACTATTCGATAAAAGCTAAGTTCGTAATTACGCTTGTGCGCATCTAATGTTCATGTTGAGGGTTTTTTTGTTCATCAATTGAAACGGCCGGTGTGTATCAAATTTTGCTTGTTCAAAACGATGTTCATTGGGGGCAGAAGAATTGAGGCTGCTAACAGACAGCCGCGACTCCATCATTTTGTAGGTTTTTTTAATGAGATACTTATTCTCGCTCAGCTGGTCGTGACATGGACGGCGACGCGCGTCGTCACGGTGAGGAGAGCGCGCGGGAGCTGACGCGCGCCGTGCGCCGCGAGGTGGCCAAGCTGTCGGAGAAATGGGCCGCTCTGCGCGAGCGCGCCGCTGCTGTCGCCAGCAATGTCGCCCTCGCTCATAAGGTAAGATCTTGTGCAAGGTCCTCACTTGTGCTCATTGTTGATTTAAGTTACCCTCGTGTCCAGGACAACATTTTTGTTTCTTGTCCGGTATTGCAATTTAATTTTCTGTTATTCCACAGTCCATCATAATTATTTGTACATAATTTCTCGTATCACGTTGCCTTATCTTGAAATTTTGATGAAATTAGTCCGAGTTTAAATCATACCTTGAAAATAATGTCGGTGATGACGAGATGATCGATTAAAAGCCGCAATGATCAAACTCCAGCAACTATTGCCAATTCATTGGTTATGTATTTCATTCCGTTCGTTTCGTCTGTTCTTGATGAGTGAACATCAAAAATTTGTACAAATACACATCAGAAGTTGGTAGCCTAAATTTTTACCTAAACAATATGGAAACGCGTACGAACAAATCGACCACATTTTTACTTGTGACTCACGATGCTCCGAGAGCGCGGAATCGTCACGGCTTGACCCTCAGGAGTTGTGGTCGACGAAAGCGGAGCCAGTATTGATGAACGGCCTCGGGCTGCAGCTTTCCCTTAATTCTGCGAGGCCTTCTGTTCTCCAGACACGTCTGCGAGTAAATTGCATCGAGAAACTTATAGAGGCTTTTTGTGGAGACTCGGCGCTGCTTTGCCACTTCTCCAATCGTATTTTTATGACGAGAAATAAAGCCCAGTAATGGATTGAGTGTCTTGCCGAGACAAAGCGCACATTTTTATCGTCGATGCTTAGGCATTTTACAGAGAGAAATTTTTGTCGTGGTTTATTTCTTATATTTATGCACATAGCTTCATAAATGGCCGAATTAATACGCCGAGCCACGAGAAATTTATTTCTTTTCCAGTAACAAGGAAGCTTTCCTAATTTGTACTTTTCCTTAAATTAATTTTTGGCTAATTTATTATGCATGATTTACCTTATTTCCTTTTGTATATTTTGCAAAAAGCCTCTAATTGACCGATATTAACTAATGGGAATTAGGAATTGGTTCATTCCTCAACAGATTTATTTTGAGTATTGAATTTAAAAATGTAATTTTTTTCTGATGATTTAGAGTCGAGTTGCAATCCGTTCGTCATGGATGAGGTTGAGTTTCCTACAGCGTGCATTGTTCTGCTGGAGCATAAGGAATTTCTAACGATATCCGTTGATCTCTTACGGACTTCTTGGCTCGGAAAGTCTTGGCTCGCTTGACGTCGTGTTTACGGCTGTCTGAGTGTATTGTGACTTCGATAAATGTATTGCTTCTCTGAGTCTACCTTCATTTTGTTGAGACAGTCAATTCCACCCATCATTTTTCACCAGATTATACGATTGGTATTTTTACACGATTATGTAGATATGCTTTTGAATGCGTTTACTGTGCGAGCTCAACGGTTTTCGTTGTAGCCTTTACGAATATCTTTTGTGGTGAAGCTCTTAAACCTGGCTGTCTAAATTATGATTCCCCCTCTGAGTACTTTTAAATTCTCTTAATGAGGCTTTACGATTATTTTATTTCCGTGCACGAGCTCATAATAATAATTATAGATTAATCAGAACAACTGTTATATTACTATGTGATCGTGATCATATTACTATGTGATCGTGATCTAATAATGAAGGTAAAATGAAATGAATTGTTAATAGACGAGTTTTTGAAGTAATTTTGTATCTGTCATCAATACTGCAGGACTGTGAGGCTCTCGTTATTGACCACGGGCTTTGGTGGGATGTGGCTGGTCGTGCATATTTCATTTATATTTAAATGAGGCTCATATGCCTACAAATGGCTATGGTGTTTCCTGGCTGCGGTCTCATCCAATAAGCCGTGTCTGACAACTGCATTGAGCCAGACCGCATCCAATGGCTTCCATGGCCCTCTACTGCTGTTTTCTTTCGATGAGACCCGCGACTCCATCACAATGTATAAACACGAGAGAATTCAATATTATCTTGTATGCAATTCAGTGATCAGATCAGGTGTTTCTGCCATGTTACTCTGACCTAACCTCTGTCCTGAAGTGATGGCCGGACGGGGAACATGAAAAATCGCTAGTCTCACTGTAAGGTTCGGGAAGATTAATAACAGCATAGTTATCAATATTGAATGCCAAACTAAAGATTGAGGAGATTTAATGTATAGTAGGATTATAAGCTGCTAGTTGCGATATTTTCAGATTGTCTGGGTACATTTATCATGACTTCTTAGGTGAATTTATCCACGACACCTTTATTGTATTCGGACAATTTCAACGGCGCACTAGAACTCCTATTTTGGCATGTTGCTGATCGCTTGAGAATTGTGCCACGTACCATCTATTTTGTTTAGCGTAATTGTACGGGCGCAATTCTCCTTCTAAATATAACCTGCCCTGCGACACACTAGCGTCGCGGAAGTTTATTAGGTTGCAGAACTTCACTTGCCTAAGTACGTCCACGAATATCTCCTACATCCGATAATTTGGAAGTCTTCGGACGATCTCTCGCGAAATTTGTCAAACCCTACAAAATTTTTAAGCATTATTTTGAACTTTTGTTCCCATCAAGAAACTGTTGATAGAAACAGAAAAAATTGTAGATCCACTAAAAAAATAAATAAAACCTTGAGCTAGAACATCAGACATAAAAATTGGTATTTTATGAAACTATATCTACTGGTTTATCTACAAATATCGTTTAAATTAATTACACCACCTCAATTGATAAAAATTGATTATAGAACATATAATATGATAATTTGACAACATGCATCTTCTGAAAACGGTTTCATTGCATTCGACTGAAATTTGCATCAATAACTTTTGGGAACGCTTGAGAAAAAGAGATGCAGGAGCAGGAGTCATGCATCTTTTTTTTTAAATCTTATGTTTTTTGAGAGCATCACCGTCCATTCTCCGGGTGGATTTAAAGAGCTTTGGTGACGGGTAGTGCCTGACCAACCTTGTCCAGACCTCATCGTGGTATGCCTAGTCTTTTCAACTGAACAGCTTCATTCTTCATCAAACAAGCAATTTTTATTTTTATTTTCATAAATTTTTTGCTGAAGATTTGTCAAATGCAATTTTTCACAGTGGTAATTATATTTGCTCATGAAAGCATAATATTAATCGTTAATTAGGAACAAATTCGAGTCAAAAATATTTTTTCTGCCTGAAATACTTTTTTTTATAACTCAGATTGTAAATAATGAAAAATTTGCCCGGATAATCGATATATTGGCACTGATAAATAAATAAAGTTCATTTCGTGCATTATCGATTCACCCTCCTTTTTCTTCCGAACTTTAGAGTTATGAGGGTAAATAAAATCCTCTTAACTCCGAATAATATCACATGAGGGTAAATAAAAACAGGCTTTAAATTCTAAACTGAATGCTAAACCAAACCCTAATATGTCTCGCGAATCACTCTTGTTTAAGGGAAAGTTTTGTACGAAGGATGAATCTTACTGGGAACTTGTTGATACTCTTTATACTTGAATTTATTTTGCTTCTTGCTCGCTGCCACGGACTGATCTGCATCACAAAGTTTGCCGCGCCGTCTGGCAAAACGTGAGCCACGAGACCGAGACAACGCAAGTCATGCAAAATGTAGCTTCATTTTGAGCAGCGGCATCTTGAGTACCGCCAAGTGTCTTGCTGTTAGATGGATACCATTTTTTTAAGGTGACGACGACATGCATACATAACTCTTCCGCGATGCCATGAAGCACCCATCCGCTCTTAGAAGTGTTCACCGGCAGAAATACGAAAATGCGTGAATTGTGAAATTTGAGGAAAAATCTTTATATAATAGTAAAAACAAATGCTTTCGTTTCATTGGAATCATTGGAAACGAGTAAAATGTGTTATATCGTTACCGCTCCATATAGTTAAAATGTTCGCTTGATTTCATTATCTTATCAATATCAGAAAATTCAATATTTTCAAATCATTCTCTAACATAACATTATTATTATACTTTCATATCTTGATGCGAATGCTACTCTAATTGACACAGCATCCTTTGTCTCGAAGTTTTATGGTAGTAACGAATTTTCTTCCTAAAGTGGACTGGATTGAACACTGAACATTGTTCTGTTCCGCTCTGGAAAACTCCGTTTAGAGCCTTGTTCGGCCTCGTGCTCTTTAGATAACCATCACCGCCGCCACCCACACAACCAGAACTGCTCTCTCTGGCCCTCTTCTGGTCCTCAATTGTGTCCATCAAAGATCTCTTTCCTTATTTCCGTTGCTTCATGCAAGTAAAGTCCGTCTCTCGACTTCAATTTCGTTAGCTTCGTTCATTCGTTGAAATTTCATTTCGAATTATTTTTTAACTTATAAATATTTAACGCTAACGGAAGTTTGAAATTATTACTAAACAATTTAATGATGGATTAATGAAATATACAAGACTCGACTGTTATACTTTCTAATAACTAAGTACTAACATTTTTCTTTTTCTTTGTGTCTAAGCTAAGATAGTTTAATTAAAGTTTACTTATCCCTATATTGAACAATAATTATTTCTAGCGAAAAAGTGATTTTGATAACATTCGTAAATGAGGGTTTGAATTATCTGCAAAGTATATCAATCTTCAAAGCATTTTTTATTGCATTTTTTGCCCGCGTTTGCCTAATAATTTCTTAAACCGATGAATGCAGACAAAAGTCAGGTCGTCAAGCTTCACTCCGTTACGAGCTCGGATCGATCTAGTGGAGTTGACATTTGCAAAGTCGTCTATCTTAGAGGTCATCCCGGCGGCAGATTTCTTGGAGCAATTCAAAAAGTATCCTCTCCTCAATTACGCAGCCGAGTCCTTCAGCTAAATTGAATGTATATTCTATTTGGAAGAATGCAGACTGAGACCTGATGTACTATTGACAATGTAATGAAAATTTTCTCTTCAAGTTTTAATTCAAACAAGCAGCCCGGTGTTGTTCGAGATAGATCGGTGATCCAAGAAATTTTGGAACCCCGTTATCTAGAATCCCTTTAATAAGAATTGAAACAATGTGTGCTAATATT